GTGTCCCATACATAAAATGGCAAAATCAAGCTTTACTTTTTTGGAATGTATACATTTTTTTGAATATTTTCAAGCTGTGGATGGTTAAAATCTGTGGATACAGAATCTGTGGATTCTTTATGGAGGGCCAACTGCAGGCTTGGCATTCCAGTTCAGCAGGGTTGGCCTTCCTGATTCATAACATGCTGCAATGCATAGCTAAGATGTAGTTAATAAAAATGTTAAAAGAAAAAGGTTTTCCTCCCAAATTTTTCAGATATTTAACCATGCTATTTGGGAGAGATGTATAGCCTCCTCTCACCCATTGTCTGCTTTCTTTGGTGGCAGACCAATATTATTGACTTCCTCCTCTTCTTCTTCTTCTACTGCTGATAGCCTGTTGACTCCTCACTTTGCTTCCAAGGGCTCCTCAGCCAAAGCTTGGACATCATCTCCTTATCTAGCTTTTGTTAGGAAGTGGTGGGCTGCTTTGGCCTTGGTTCTCCTTTCCTCTACCTTTCTCAACCTCAAATTCAGCCCGCCACACCTTTCATAGATGAGCATCACGATTTAACATGAAAGATGTTGTGGAGTTGCATTATCTCTGTGCCCTGGGTGGGCAGTGAATTCTTCTTTTAGCTGCCTTAAGAGTATGTTAAGGGAGTATGCAGTAAATTCTTGTAGATGCCTTGCTAAAATAACTGTTTTTTAACGTAATTTTTAGCAATCCAGGATGGTGTAATAGTTGGGAGTTGGATTAGGATACTGGGAAACCAGGGTTCAAATCCCAACTTGGCCACAGAAACCACCTGGGTGACCTTGGGCAAGTCACACTCTCTCGGCCTCAGAGAATGGCAATGGCAAACCCCCTCTGAAGAAACATGCCAAGAAAACCCTATCATAGGTTCACCTTAGGGCCACCATAAGTCGGAAATGACTTGAAGGCACATAAACCAAAAGAATAGCTACAGGGAGCCAGTGTGGCATGGCAGTTTGAACATTGGACTACCCATTGGGTAACTTTGAGCAAGTCACACACTCTCAAACTCAGAAAAACATGTGATAGATTTGCCTTGGGGTCACCATAAGTCAGAAGGCAGACAATAAAAACAAATATAGACACACACACACAAAGACACATACACACACATATGATGCCCAGGCATCTTCTTTGTTTTCTCCATGATCCCCTTCCAATAAACTTGATAGCTGGACAGTTTTTTTCCTGTTTTAAATTGTTTTTAATGATGCCACTAGCTGACTTGAGCACTATTTTTAGTGGAAAAGCAGAATTTAAAACGTAATAAATTTTTAAAATGAAACTAAGCTTGCTGTGCCTTGTACTTGACATTTCTAATAATTGCCATTATTTAGAGTGCATATATGATTCAAATCAGACGAGATCAAGCACCAGAGAAATTGTAACTCTGTGCAATTTTCTGTAAGATTGTACCAAGCAATTTTTGCTGCACTTCTCCAAATCAAAATTCCGTTCTCCCTTCAAATATTATTTTACCTATTCTTATTTTCCACTTACTGAGAGTTACCATAGTGTAGTGATTCAAATGTTGAATTACAACTTTGGAGACCAGGTTTCGAATCCCTGCTCAGTCGTGGAAACCCACTGGGTGACCTTGAGCAAGTCATACTCTCTCAGCCTCCTCAGAGGAAGGCAAAGGCAAACCCCCTCTGAACCAAACTTACCACGAACCCCCCCCCCAATAGGGTCGCCACATGTGAGAAACTATTTGAAGGCACACAACAAACAGCATTCCCCACTTATATTGACACACTCCCAACCTGGACCTTCACCATTTTACTTGACTGCCATACCAGCCTGACAACACGTGATCTTTTTGGGGGGGCAGGCCTGGTAAATACTTGGACAGAGAACCAATAGGGAATACCTGCAGCCCTTTCACACTATACAGTTACAGCACTATGATTCCTCTTTAACTGCTATGGTCCCATCCTATGGAATCCTGCAATTTGCAATTAATAATTTGCAGTTTCATCCATGGGATGCAACCATGACCGTTAATGTAGAATCATAGTATGTAGTGTGAAAAGGCCATAAGGATCTCATGATAGAGCTAGAAAAGAATCCTGCCTGAAACCTTGGCAAGCTGGTGCTAGAGAGAGTTGACATTAATAGGGTGCATGGATGAATGGTTTGGGTCAGTGTAAGGCAGCATCCTAGGCATATGTGTAATTTAAAATATTTGCTACTAAGGGGAGGATGGAGAAGGGAGATGAGGGGGAGCAAATTGAGGTACCAATTCTTGAATAGTAATTCCGATAATAACCAGCTGAAATAAAAACAGCTGAGGAAGAGAAAGAACTGGATGGAGCTGGTCATTCAGCACAGCTTCCATCTTCCAGCTAGAATGGCTGCTGCCAGGTGACATTTTAGAGAAGAGCCCAATGGAGGTGCTCTCCCCAAAGCTAGGCAAAGATGAGTGACTGGCGGACTGTGCCTTGATCAAACATCCCCAGCGAATCTCCAGTGATGCCCAGCTTCCCACCAGACAAGAAAACACTGACGCTGAAACAAGCAGAAAGAAGAAAGAGGCTTGTGGCATCTTAAGAACTAACACGTTTTCTTTATGGCATATGCTTTCATGTGCTGGAGTCCGTGTCAACAGACGTATGAAATGCCAACCCAAATTGCAGGTACACATGTTCTGTGGAAGAGTTGTTAACAGTGAGATCAGAGGGAAATGCGATTCAGGAAGTGCAGAGTGTGATAATTATGGGATGAATGATAACCATTCACAAGGCAGTTTTGGTGATGAAAACATCCTGGCACTAGTAAGAGGATCGATAAATGTAGTAGGTAAATAAAAACCCATTATTTCCATTAATGTCACAGTTGACAGAACTGGACTTCTTGATTAATTTAGCAGTTTCTAGTGGATGTCTTCCTTTGAAGCTTCTTTGTTCAAGATCAGCCACCTTAAGGTCAGTGCCAGCAGCTAGGACATCTGGAATGAATACTGAAATGCAAATACCACACAGAAACAGTCAGTGTTTGTTAGGCCTGATTAGAATGGTTGAAAATGGGCTTCTGTCTGCTTACTTTAATAATTAAGCTATGTGACACATTCCATAGCCTTTTTCTCTTTTCCTTGCTCAAATGTGTTCATGGAGACTATGTGGACTGGGTCCAGTGCCTAGAGGAAATTTAAACATCAGCTATCTGGTTTTTATTTTTAAAATCCCCTCATGTAGGGGTTATATGAGGAAGAAATTGGAGAGAATTGATGTTTTGTCTTCTTTTAACCCCAGCATTGGGTGGGGGAAATAAAAATCAGAGACAATGATTTACACCAATGCCACCCATGAAAAGGGGATTCAAAATGACATATTTTACATTTCCATGCGGCTGTTAGGAGGACGTTAGTCAGGGATATGTACTCTTTCAAGCAAGATAACCAAATTCAAAATTATTACTTCCTTTTTGTCCTGCCACATTATTGAGATCATTTGATCCATGCACATGTTTCTCAAGAAAGTATGTCAGGGATGGGAAATCTTTGGCCCACCAGAGTTTTGGACTTCAGTGCCCAGAAGCCTGAATCAACTTAGCCAGTGGTAAGGGATTCTGGGAGCTGAAGTCCAAGGCTCTGGAAGACCAGGGGTTTCCCATCCCAAATAAGCTTTGTGTGGCAACTATTATGTGCAGGGAAAGAACTAATCATGTCCCATTACATTCCAGCTCAGAAGAGATTTTGCACAATTTTAGATTTTTTGTAATCATCACAAATATAGTTTTTTGCTTTGTGGTTCTTTAGTCTCATCTATGTAATAAAGAACACATTACACAATCTCTAATCCTCTATTCTTCTGTTACATCCAGAAATCTGATTCCATTTGTGGACAACCAAAGGGCATGAGGCTTCAGTTGCTAAACTGGACATGCTCACTTGCACTTGAGCATCACCTATGCAGACCTACCAAAGTGGTCTCTGTTGTCATACCAGCCAGGGTCCTCCGATTGAAACAAAAAAGAGAAATAACACTGCCCTGGCCAGTATCCTGTTAATGACATATACAGCCATATATAGCACTACACATATGGCAGGTAAATGTTTGTATCTACTTAATGGTGGTGGAAGTAGAATTCTGCATGAGGAACCATTGTGAGTGTAGATATGCATTGACGTCCACTGACTAATGTGTAAATGCTAACTGCACATTGCTGTTGTATTGCACAGTTACAGCTATGCACATGAGCTACCAATGTGCATTCTTTGAATGGCATTGCTATTAATTAAAGGATTGCACCATGGAAGTATAAAGTAACTCTACTGCTATATATTTACACTATGCTGAAGTGGTTTAGGATCTTAGCTACAGTCACCTCTGCTATTTAGCACTGACACTAAGTGGAAGTCAAGAGGAATTTGTTGACTCATTGTATCCTGAATATATTGCCTTCAGCAAGCTAAGGCAAAGGGTGAAACCCTTTTACCCAGGTTCTGTGGGTTGACTGAGTACCAAATACAGAAATTAACTTCCGTCAAAATCTAAACGTTCAGCAGGTTGGGCTATATACAGCCGCTGTCTACTGAATGTGCATGGTGACTGGGGAAAAACATTTTTATGTGTCTGAAACAAGATGCATCAGGAAATAGTAATATTCTTCAAAATGTGTCTCCCTACTCCCTCCCCTACCATGGAGGGTTTTGTTCTCATGTGAGTTCATAAGGAAATTCTGTGGCACTCCTCCTAAACAGGGTCTGAGGAAGGGGAGGAACTGGCCTTTATACTTGAGCAAGTTGACCAGAACCCCTGACATGCATGCATGCTTGCACACACACAAACACACACACACATACAATTGTAGAGATCCAAACTGGAGAAGACAGCATTGTGTGTTCTGTGCCTTCAACTCATTTCCGACTTACAGCGACCCTATGACAGGGTTTTCTTGGTAGGATTTGTTCAGTGGAAATTTGCCATTGCCTTCCTGAGGTCGAGAGAGTGTGACTTGCCCAACGTCATCCAGTGGGTTTCTATGGCCCCTGCAGGGGTTTGAACCCTGGTCTCCGGAATCATAGTCCAACACTCAAGCCACTACACCACAGCATTGTTTTAAAATATGATAAAACACTCCCAATTGTGTAACTGCAACATGGTGACACTGCAGAATTGGTGGCAGGACCTAAAAGGACTCTTTGCCCAGGGCCTTTTTTATCCAAGGGTCAGCCCCGAAAGCAGGAGGTGGGTTCACGGCTCCAAAACCACTGTTTTGAACCTACATAGTTTACTGTGTCTACTTGCCATGTCATGAAAGGCAAAGTGATGTGAAGAGACAAATAACTGGGTCAAAAAAAAAGGAATTACAAGGCAGAGGTGTGGTCTGAGCCTCAGTTGCCAAACCACCTATTTGCCCCCACAATGTACATCAAAAATGCCCATTTTGCTCTAGGCGAAGTGGCAATGCTGGGAGAGACAGACACAGACACTCAGCACTCCCCACTGCCCAAATATACACAAAACCAGGCAACACACTGCATGCACAAAAACCACAAGCTGGAAGAGCCAAAGCACAAACCACAAATGGACTGAATCCCAGACAAATATACCCCAAACAGAAAAAAACCAGAACACCAGCACAGAGACCAAAGCAGTCCCTTCCCTTGCTGTCATGCCCTACAGCCTCCTTCAAGGAAATGCTCCCCATCCCTTCCTCTTTTTTCTCCTTCTATGTGGCTGGAAAAGAAAAAATCCATCTTCTGCCATTTTTCTCCCTAAGAATGCCTTTGGGCCCCACATTGGGCCAGAGGCATTTTTAAAAATGAAAATAATGCTGGAGGCTGACATGTCATTTTGCAATTTGACAATCTCCCAGGTTTTTTCCAAATAATGTTTCGTTTTTTAAAAATTGGGAGCCTGATGGGCCCCAGGGAAGGTGCTCATGGACCTCACATTGGGGTCACCAGGAACCCTACCTTATACAGCAGCCCTTTTGGGCCACACCAGGAGGGAGCTGGAATTCAGGCTCCTCTTGAGGATTACCAGCTAGATGTCCACCTCTCACCATGGCCTTGCAGGTCACAGCACCTCCAGCAGCCAGATCTGGCACCCCTCGAAAGACCCAGACTCGCACCTGAATTTCACACAAATTTAGGGGAGACTAAAGTGAAACTCTTCTATAAATAACCGACAGAAAGGATAGGCTCTGGACATCTACATTCTGTCCAAGCAAAAACAGAGCTGAAATATTCCATAGTGGATAAGACGTATTTCAACTCCGATTATTCTTGTAAAACCAGAGCAAATACAGACAGCCTATCATTTCCTTCAGGTTCAAACTGCAATTTAACCCCAATTCCTCTATTTTCTGATGTAGCTGCCATTCTCCCATCACTGGCAACCCAGCCTATATGAAATGCTGCTGGCATGTCTAATGTTTCCCTCAGCTGGCAATTGCTTCTCCTAGTTCTCTCCTCTTATCTTTTTCTCTATATATTGCAACATTTTTCTCTGAATAAGTAAAATGTATGACAAAGGACTGCGGTAACTATTTCATGCTATTTTCCCATTGTACACATTATTAAAATGAGCAGCCCTGATATGATCAGACTACTTATATCCTGATCTTTCCTGGAATCCTCTCACTCCTGTTATTTCTTTCTATTATTATTTTTTCACCTGCCACAGATATTCCAAGCAAAGCGTCAGGGAGGGAAGCTTATCACAAATGCCTCCGGTCTCTTTGAATGTATTTCTGATGGCTGGCTGCACAAATATTTTATTTTTCCATTCATTTAGCATGAACTTGTTTGCCCTGTTTCTTGGGACTGGAGAAGCACTTTGAATTCCAATAGCTGCAATAAAAATGCTGCTATTGTTTAAAGCATGTTTAAAATCTATCATTTATTTAACTGTAAAATTTGTACATCATTGAATTTCATGGGAGAAGAGTCATTAGGCAAAGTGAAGCCTGCACTGGAGGTCGTGTTTAATTTATTTTCTGGGACTTGATTTGTGCTCTTTGAACAAAAATGTCATAAGTTATTCAATACACAAAGGTGTCTACTTTCATCTCACAATAATTAGGCTGATTAATTCGTATTATCACTAACAAGAAACATTCATTCCAGCACAACACACATTGCAAACAGAACCAGTGACATTTCCACCACTTTAGACTGAAAATGTATTATAGGCAAACTGGGAGTTATAAGATCTGCTCTAACAAAGGCCGTATTCAACATTTTATCTTTGTAGACGATGCGGGACGTGATATTTGCAGCTGAGCATAATATAAAAGAAGCAGAAATAGCGACGTGGGGAAATTATACCTTACCATTTCCCAGTTATCAAATGTAAGGCTAACTTATCAGGAAGAAAACAATTGTTGGCACAATCTTAAATACAGGATTCAAATAATTATAGAGTGAAATAAAATGGTTATCCATCTTTTGAATTTTTTTCTGTAGTGTGTTTAGACTCAGACAATGCCATGATAGAAAGAAAATAGCAGTACCTGGTAATAACTAGTTATGAAAATACGTGAGTTACGACTAATTTCAGATCTCATTTGTGAAAACTGGAGGGGAGGAACACAATTCTTTCTACCTATATATGTTGGAGCAGACATGGTTGTCAGTTTGCATGTACAAACTCTGATGGAATAGAGAATAAGAAAAGTCTGTTATTGATTTCTGATTTTTTTGAGTTCACATCTTCTTCATACTATGTCCAACTAGACAATTCCTGATATTAGGGTATTGACATATATTGAACCAGTTAACACCACTCCTATTGGTATGTAGAGAGATTTTGTAGCACCTTTGAGACTAACTGAAATAAAGAAGCTGGCAGCATGAGCTTTTGTAGACTACATATTGATTCTACATACTAGCACCGCTATATCTTTGAACTCTACAACTCCTATTGAGAACACTTGATCTAAATTCTGTTCCTCTACATTCTTCAGTTCTTGCCACATTTTAGTTGTCCAATCAGAATATTGCTCGGAGAGTTGAGACCACAGATGGCTCCAAAATCAGCATGTTATTCTTCTCCTTGAACTGTTGGCAATAGAAATGTGACCATAAAAAATGTGTCTAAGCCATCTCAGTTTCATAGATGTGGTGTGTGTACATATATGTAATTTAAAAGCAAACAAATAGCACTTCTTGCAGATTTGTTCTGGGTCCTGGTAGGATGCAGTTAATTACTCTCTCTCTCTCTCTCTCTCTCTCTCTCTATATATATATATATATATATATATATAGGAGTCATTAGCGAACAGAACTTAATAGTTCAGTTAGTAAGAAAAATGTTTCAGCTTGCGCCCTCCTCAGTTGTTTAAAATAAAAGTGAGCTTATAGCCAAAGCTAAAATTTAGAACATTCCATCAGCAACATTCAATACATTCTTAATGATGTATTGTCTCTAGGATGAGGCCATGTGGAGTGAAAATCCTGACTCTTTGGATCCTGGTTTTGTTTTTGTTTTTTGTTTTTTCCCTTTTGGCCAATGTTGAAATTCATGTTGAAATTCATTTTGTTAGTTTTGGCCCAACTCTCTAATTTTTTTAAGGTCATTTTGAATTCTGTCCTCTGGAGTATTGGGTACCTCTCCTAACTTGGTGTCATCTGCAAATATGATGTCCCACAACTTCACAATAAATTGTGCTGCTATCTTCATGAGCCAAACAAAGATATCTTCCAGCACAGCAAATGGGTCACTCACTTTTCTTGCCCTGGAATAGCAATAGCATCATCAGGTAAAAGAATGACATAAGTGCAGAAAGTATGTGAAGCAACAGCACTGAGATGCCTCCATTGTACATTATCTTAAATGTGATTTAGCCAGTTAAAGCAAGTGCTATTGGGGTAATCATGCATAGGTAATATTGAACATTAGGGTATTCTTTTAAAAATATCATAGCATTCAGATGGCCTACCACATAGTAGGAAGGGCATACCACAGTGTGAGAAATATTACAACGGCATGACAACTGCATTTAGTGTGAGCTAGTTTGTGTGCCATCACAACTTCAGTTCTGCATAGTGTTTTCAAGCATGCTCTTCAGCAAATGCACATTGCAGGATCACTCTATATTTAATTTCCATCAGTCTTGACAATATTTCAGAGTAGCCTCATGAGTTTTGTATATCCCAGGTACTAAGAGCAAGCGCATATGGAATGCATTTCAGCACTTGCTTTGGTTAAGGATATAAAAATAAATGGATTGTAGGGCTAACATGTTACATTTTTAATCATACTTATCCCCTCTGGGAGGTCTTCAAACATAGAGATATTTTAAATACACACGCCAAACCCTGGTTTGTCTTTCAAAAAAGATGAGTTCTGGTATAGCAAGATATTTGAACTGAGGCTGCATCTGTCTTTTGAGTGTTCTGTTGTTTTGTACAAACTTGTAAATGCCTTCATTTTTCTGTTGGAAATTGATTTACTAAAGAATACAAACGTCACGTGAAGAAACAGAAACAATTAAGAGTCCATCCTTTCCTTATATCTTCCAGTAGCCAGTACTGTCTTTATTTTTAAGCTTTAAAAAACCCACGAAGGTCAGAGTAAATTGATTCTATGAGCTTGTAAAGGTTATGGGCATTTAATCATTCTTCAAAGAAGCTCTCTTACACCTTCCTTTTTTCTTTATTTATTGGCCATCTCAGCTTCTCCCAAAGACTCTGAGCAGCTTGTTTTAAAAGCAATGCCTCTAGCACAGATAATGGACATACTACATAGTACATCTTTCAGGATCTTTTAGACCTATAGCCTGCAAAAGAACAACATGTTAAAGATTCCAGACTGGAAAATCTCTAGAGCCATTAAAAATTCCTACATTCATCAAATCATGCTTCTGCTCTTACTTTCTTGCCTTACCCATCCTTCATCTAATGACAACATACCTCCCTACTGCAGAATATATGATGTACTTTCCACTCCCTTGTCCTCTGTCTAACAGTTCTCTCATGCAGCAGTCCCTTAACCTTTCCATCAGCATAAACCTCTGCCTCTCACCAGTGAAAATCCACAATTGCCATACTCACTTCATACCCACTGCCCTCTGCATCCTTTCTAACACAGTGTGAACTGTCATT